TGTTCTTGCTGCCGCTGTTCTTGCTGCTGCTGTTCTTGCTGCTGCTGTTGGCAGGCTGACAAAGACAACCGCAAGCTTCAGCCAGTTGTGACAAGCCTCAGCCGCAGGCAATCTTCCGGCACTGGGCACGAACACGCGGTCGCATGTCTGGCACAGGCGCTGGCGAGCAGCGAAGCGCGTCCGGAGGAGCGCAGCACCATTGGCGGCCGGCTGCTAGCAACAGGCGAGGCCGTTGCGTGGTACTCTTGTGCTGGCGGTGTGGGTGGTATCTGCCGGTTCTGCCCATAGTCATAGTCAGTGGTAGTGGTCATAGACTCATAGAGTTCAATTGCCAGTCGGTTTATGTGCAAGCATCTTAGGTGGATACGATGGCAAGGTGAAGCTGTTCAACGCTCAGAGCGGCCTTTGTTTCGTCACCTTCGCAGAGCACACCGCCCCGGTGAACGCCGTTTGTTTTACGCCCCAGGGCAACGCAGTGGTCAGTGCAAGCCGCGACGGCTCCGTTCGCGCGTTTGACCTGCTGCGCTATCGCAACTTCCGTACCTTCGCTAGCCCAGATGGCCTGTGCCAGTTCTCCAGCGTCGCCGTGGACTCCGGCGGCGAGATTGTGGCGGCCAGCTCTCTTGGGGGCAAGTATGCCGCCACTCACCAGCGTTGGCAACATGAATTTTCCTCGTTTTTTTTTTTTGGGTCTTTTTTTTCTCAATTGTGGCTATTGCCAGCAAAGGCACAACTGTCGTTCAAGCAGCATGCTTGCCCCCAAGCCCCAACTGAAGCATAGATGCCTTTTTTTTCAAGTAGTAGTCATTGTGCGCATGCCCACACACCAATGCATGCACAAGCTCAAACACATGTTACAGATGCCTTGCAGGTTTATGTGTGGTCCCTCCAGACGGGCAACGTGCTGGAAGTGCTCACGGGCCACACCTCCCATGTCCAGTCCTTGCACTTCTCCCCCTCCGCGCAGCACCCGGGGCAGCTGGTGAGCGCTTCTTGGGACGGCACGCTGAACGTGTGGGACCTCTACGCGGGGACCAAAGGGGGCGCCGCGGAGGCTTTGCAGTGTTCGTCCAGTACCCTGCTAAAATATGGCAGGCATTTTGACCTTTTCTCTTCCTGCTGATTTTTGAGTGGATGTGTGGTTTGTGCTTCTGGTGTCGGCCCTTTGGATTCAATACAGCATGGAACAGCTGGTGTGTTTGCGTTTGCGCACGCTTTGCGCCCCTCGGGTTGGATTGAAAGTCTTGCTGCAGTGCAGATATCGAGCAAGCTGTCTTGAGCCTCTTTTGCCATCAGTTCAGTGAGGCGTCCTCTCAGTGTGCTTTGATCCTCGCGGAAACGACCTTTGTGCAGCCTCCTGTCTCTCTGGGCAGATTCTTTTCTGGAACGTGGTCTCCGCCCAGACTGTTGGCAGCATTGATGGCCTCAGAGATATACAAAGTGGCCGCCAGTGGCACGACATGTTCGCCGCCACCAACACTCGGGGTATCAAGCCTGGAGCCGGCTTAAAGAAGAGATGCTTGTCAGCAGGTTAGGTGTTTGCCAATTGTCTCAGCTGGGTTTCTTGCCAACACGGCTTCGCTGTTCATTTCAGAGTCGGGTGTTGTGATTGCGCGTGTGTCCATGTGTCCGGGGCTGCAACAGCATACAGCTTCATACCGCTTCATACCGCCGCTTTGGCTGATTGATCCAACCAAAAAGTCGCCGCGCACGCCTCCTGCGTGAACACGGTCTCGCTAAGAGGAAACTTGTCGTTGAAGTGGTTTCCTCAGATCTGGGTGTGGGTCAAATGTCGGTACCCTCCAATAAAACCCGATGCAACCAACAGCTACCCTCATCTTTTCTCATCTGGCCATGGGTCAAAATCCCGTACCCCCAGTGAGCATCCCAACCCTCACTAAAGTTGACTAAAATGGGGGCTGCACCTACCCCAAAATAGGATCCCAAAACGGTTTTGACAACCACAGCCATTCGCAGGAAAGCCAACAGACGGCCTCAACCTCAATCAGCACTTCAACTCTGTGGCCTACGCAAAAAGCGGCGAGCTGCTGCTTGCCTCTTCGCAGAACTCCCCCTATGTGACGCTTTATGCGACCTGGCAGAGAGGTGTGGGAGAGCCTTGGGTCAAGTCCATCCAGAGAAATGCTCATATGAATATGCATCCAAAGCAGAGGTGTGTGTCTTTGTTCCATCCCTGAACTCCGAACTCTCACATCTTGATACTGTGTTGTCTTGGCCATAAGTTGTCTTTTCATTCATCGGCCCTGACGAAGGAGCCCCAAAATGACGAACATGTTGTCAATGATCCCTAGCGAAACGACGAGATCAAATCAGCACACTCAACTGGTGGCCTCCAATTTTCCTGAAGCTAGTGCTTGAGAAACATGGTCTGGGAGTCTACGTCTCCTAGCCCTGAGAACCAGCAGGGCACCATAGCCCCTCATCCAGACTGCTGCTGTAGAGTTATAAGTTATAACTTAGCCACCCCCGAGCACAGTGGCGACGCAGAAGTCAGCAAGCCAATCTTGCACATTGCCCAGTGGCCCAGGACTAAACATGCAGCGAAACTGTCCTGGGCCCATGCCTCATGCCCTCGCGTAGCAAACCAGCGCGAGAGAGAGAGCATAGACTGGCTGACTGGCTGTTTCCTTGGGCCTGGATGGCGAACTGCTCTCAGCGCGCATGCACTTCGAAGTAGAAGCAGCCATCTTGCTGCCCTGCTCCGAGCTTAGCTAAGGACACCACTGCCTACACGCTGATGAGCCGCGTAACGGTGACCACCAACAAAAGTCTGAGCGGAGTTCAACCGTTCCTGAATAGATGCTTGGCAAGGAGTTCCATTAAGGGCCTTTCAAGGCTCAATGTAATCTTGGGCAACGCACACCCACAGGCGCCAAGCCATGGTTCAGGGGCGTGTGCTTGGTAACATTCAACTCAGTTCATTGCGTCGCAGTTTTCCCGAGACGCTCAAGCCCGAAGCATGCCAGAATTTCCCCGCGAACCGGGGCATGGGCTGAGGCAAATTCATGACGGAAGCAGGCGTGGCTGTCCAGCAGCTGGACGTGTCTGACTCTGACGCCGATGACACCGAAGTGGCCAGGCAACAGGAGCGGCTGCGCGACGGCGACCGGCGCAGCTTGGGGCCAACACAAATTGTGCCTGGGGCTGGTTTCTGCTGAAGCTGGGTGCTGGTTGTTCGGACGGAGAATGATTGTGTCATCTTGTTTCACCCAAACCTGAATGCCATTGACTTCAGCCCAGAGCAGCCCAAGCTCAGGATATATACTGTAGTAGGGTGCTACATGTGCTTCTGGATGATTCTTTGGTCAGGTTCTGGTGAGAAAAAAGAAGAAGCATGCAAACAAATCTCCAGGAGGTTCGCCGCAAGATGAACGCCCTGCCTGGAGTGAGCGTTGGAGAGGCCAAGGACTGGCCTTGACCCTGTGCAACAGCGCAGGGGCCGAAGCTCAGTCCTACGCTGCTTGGTAGGCTGTATGTTGGTATGTTGATATGTTGGGTATGTCCAGTATTCCTGGGTAGTTTCAGTGGCGTTTGCTCCTTTGTCCCCTCAGGGAAGTTGCACCAAACCGGTTTGGCCGGTGGTGGCGGAGGGGGACCCGTAGGGGCTTGGTATGCTTGGTGGGGCGGCGTGCCTTTGGCGGCACAGGATGCCTACACGGACAAGGAGCTGCACGTTTGGGGGGTGGCTTTCAGCGCCGACTCCCAGCAGTTCGCGGTGGCCACCACCCACGGAGTCTTCGTGTACAGCCAGGCGCCTGACCTGTCAGACGTCTGCAAGGGCTCATCGCACCCCACATCTTAGAGACTGTTCAACGGCATTTGACAAGAAGAACCCGCCGTGGCGATCCAGCAAGGGTAAACCTTAAACGTGCATGTGCGAGTCGATTGGTGTGACATTGCAAAACACGTCGTTTGAGCTGCCTTGCTTCAAGGACGCTGGCATGGGCACGGCCGGAATCTCTGGCGGCATCTATGGAAGCGAGTCCCGCTTTGTGCCACAGATGCTGACAAAAGCCGTGTCAGCCCCTGCAGTGCTTAAGGCTGGGAAGTGGACTCCACTGTAGATTCCTCTTCTTTAGCCAAGTTTCTGTGTACAGAATTCTGGCCTTGTGGGTCTTTCTGAAAGGGGTGGGCTTCAAAATCGGGGACACACACGCACACACACACACACACCCACCCACCCACCCACCCACCCACCCACCCACCCACCCACCCACCCACCCACGCACGCACGCACGCACGCACGCACGCACGCACGCACGCACGCACGCACGCACGCACGCACGCACGCACGCACGCACGCACGCACGCACGCACGCACGGCACGTGTATGGTATTTCTTGCTTTGATTTGATGCCTGTTCTAACATCGCGTTCCAAAAGCGTGGCCAAGCGCCCTGGGCGCTAGGCGCTTGATTCGGGCGACTGCACCCGTGCCATGATCCTGGCGCTGGCGCTGAATGACTACGGCCTGCTGAGAACCGTGTATCAAAAGGCTGGGTTGAAAAACACGTCAAGCGAGGAAACACCGTCTCACACACGAGGGAGGAAGAAAGAGGCGGGTTCACGCGGCTAGTTTGCTTGTGACCAGAGTTCCCTCGTTTGAGCGAAATGGGAGGAGCCGATCCCCATCCTGTTGGTGACCTTGGCCCTTTGGTTGCGGGGGCTATGCCAGGTGCCTGTGCAGTCCATTGAGTTGGTGGTTGCGTCCATCGGCTCACCCTTGATCCCTGCCCTACTTTGGTTCCTCAGCCTGGAGTCTGCATCTCAGATCTGATGTGCTTGCCTTGCCTGCGGGGCATTTTTAGCCTTGCTCTGGTCACAGAGGGACGGTTGAACCGGGGGTTTTCTTGATGTTTGCCAAGCGATTTGAGTGGCTCTCTGACCGCCTTTGAGGCTAAAGCCCCAGACTGGCACTCCGCACTACCAATTTCACGTGCTCTGGATCTCAGCCCTGATCGACCTGCACTTCCAGACTTTGCTTGAGACAGGGCTCCCAGATGCGCCCTTCAAGTGTCAGATTTGAAGTCACTTCAGCTTGAGGCATCCAAACAAAGGCCTTTCCATTTGGTAGCTGCTGTGTGGTAGGGAGTCCCAATGCAAGTCGATCATTTGCGTTTACATCTGGCATGAGGCAGCTGGACTGTGGCCATACTGTGGATGGACACAATCCTGCACCGCCTGAAAAAACATCCACAGTAGCATGGCATTGCCCAGTGGTCCAGGATGAGCTCCGGCCGTGCTACCCCTCGCACTGGCTCGACGCTGGATGCGGGCAACCGGGCAGACGTGGCCGCGCTTTGCTTGCAGCTGCTGGTGGAGCTGTCCCAAAGGCATGCCGCTTGGAGGAAGTGTCAGATCGGCCTTGTGAATGGTAGGGTTCTTGCGGGTGGATGGTTTGAGTTTGGAACTGAGCCTTCATCCTTTGGCTACCGCACTCACCAATTTGACGCTGTGCAGAGCCCATGAAGGGGCAAGCAGCGATCAGCGGTTTTTGCCTTCGGGGCATGCGTTGCCACTCAAAGGCCGCAATGTCCAAGATCTTTGACGGCAACACGTACCTGCTACGCTGCTTGGCATGAGATGTCTTCCAAAATAAGGCCGTGTTTCCGCATTGAGCCACTCGGTCGGCGCAGCTGCCGGGCGGCGCCTTCGTAGCCCCAAACAGACCTGCAGGACCAGAAATACGCTTCACATCTTCGTCTTGGGTTTAACCTTGCTGCTCAGTAGGCAATGTGAAATGGAATGAAGACAGGCTTTGGTGCCTTTAAGGGAGTTGGATGGTTTATCTCGGGGTCATGCGCCATTTCTCATTCCCTGCATCTCGGACCGATCGCAAGCAACGTGCGTCCGAGGATTCCTCGGCAGCATGCCGGACGAGACGCCAGAGGCATCGCTTGAGACGGAGGCAGAGGTGAAGGCCCGACTGTCTGAAGCTGGGAGTTGGCCATGGCTTGCAAAATGGCTGTGGGTCAAATCCAATGGGATCCCATTTTGGGGCAGGTGCACCACCCATTTTAGTCTGTTTTGGTTGGGATTGGGATGTTCGCTGGGGGTATGGGATTTTGACCCATGGCCAAATAACTCCCCCCCAATCGCAGTTTAGTCAGGGTGGACTTTATGTTGTGAGGTGTCCAAAAAATACACAAAAACCCACATTTGTCTTCTTTCGGTTCGCCTGCGCTGCTTGCGGGGTTGCCTGAAAAAGGTTCAAAGAGTGGATTCCGCAGATCATGATGGGAACCCTTCAGAAGGGGTCCTCGGCATGCGCGACACCATGCCCACCTGGCTGCAGCATTGGCTCTTGCCCTTCGGCCTGGTTTTACCCACTCGAAATCTTAGCCCGGATAATGGGACGCACAGTCAGCCAAGCCTTTGCTGCTTGCCCCCTTTGTAACCGCGAAGCTCAACATTGACTACTATGTGCAAATGCGCAAGACGTGTCGGGCGCACCATCTGGCCTCTCATCGCAGTTTGGCTCAGTGAATCCATTGTCCCGCCCCCCCCCCCCCGCCGGCCATCATGCCAACTTCGATGTTTGCGGAGCCCCGTGCGAATGAAGGTAAAAGCAAGGGTGATCTGGAGGGTGGGTCCATGAGTTGGTCGCCCGATTACGAGGACCAGCCAGAGAAGGATCAAGTCGAGAACGTCGACAACGTCTACAAGTCGCAGAGCACAGACACCAACTCTGCCAACTCCCCTCCTGGCATCAGTGCCAGCAAGTCTGCCGTATCCGGAAGATCGTCCATCGCGGTACTAGTGGAAAAACGGCAGAAGGAAGTGCAGTCCAGTCAGCACGAGTGGTGGACCTATCGTTTTGCCATCGTGGTGGCGTGGGTTGTGCAGATCCTTTTCACCCTGGCGACGCTTTTGCTGCTAGCTCTGTGGGCCCGTCATGAGCACGAAGAAGCCTTCGTGGTTACCTTCTTTGTGATGGCAATTGCGGCGGCAGCCTACTTGGCCAAGGTCACTGGCATGGGCGAAGCCACCATTGCAGGGAGGAAGGTCCCAATCATCCGATCCTAGGTGGTAGAGTTCAGTCAAAAGCCTTTTTTTGAGATGGGTTGCTGGTGTTTCGTTTGCTTTGAGCTCTTGTTGGATTTGGCCATGGCTGCGCTGAGGCTACATCGACTGGATTGCCACGACTCCCTTGATGCTGTTTGAGCTTTGCATGATCGGGGGCGCTGAGAAGCACACGACCATCCTCATCATCGGCTGCGATTTGATGATGCTCACGGGGGGCATTGTCAGTGCCATGGTTGTGCCCAAGGCCAAAGTTGGCCTGAAGTACGCGTGGTTCGGCATGTCCATTTTGTTCTACGCCATCATGATCGTGGCTTTGAACGTGGACGTCGCCAACGGCTCCGCCCTGTCCCGGCCTCCGGACGTCCAGCTGCTGTTCACTAAGCTCCAGTGGCTCACGGTGATCTCCTGGACGGGATATCCCATCGTGGTGCTGCTCGGCCGCGCGCACGCCGGACTCATCTCCAAGGGCATGGAGGATGCCTTGCTTTGCATCCTGGATTGTATCTCCAAGCTGGGCATGGAAGGCTTTGTCATTGGCACTTGCACGGCTGCAGGTGCGCAATGCCATGTGAAGTCGGTCGAGGCCTACGGCTATGGATCAGGCTAAGAGCAACAAATGCTTCTTTTTTTGTGACATTATCGGTTATTTTCTTAATGCAGTTTTCCCCAACCAGCATGTATCTGCAAAGCAGGTTTTCGAGTGCTATATATAGTTGGGCCACATTTGCATTTTCCCACGCTGCGCGTCGGCGATGAATATCGCGTCTTATGTGCGTGTCGGCGATGCATATTGCATCTTCTGCGATGCAGGGGAGCATGTCTGAAGTACTGACAGGCAAGTTGCAAAATGGGCAGCCGTTAAAACAATGTTTGGCACGTGCCTTGCAGAGCCTTGTTGTTGTTGCTTCACTGGCCCGGCATCACAGTTTGGCTCAGCGAATCCATCGTCCCGCCGGCCATCATGCCAACTTCAATGTTTGTGGAGCCCCGTGCGAATGTGGGTAAAAACGAGGGTGATTTGGAGGACGGGCACCTTGAGCAGTCTTGATGTATGTTGATCCGATCGGCTCTGTGACTGAATACAGGCTTCAAATTCCACTAGCCGTAAATAGCTGTGCAGCCGATTTGCCAGTGACTGACATTATTGTCCCAGTTTTGTTGCACAGTCGCCAGACCGTAGCTCCGCAGTTTCCCAAAGCGTTGAGGACCAGCCAGAGAAGGATCAAGTCGAGAACGTCGACAACGTCTACAAGTCACAGAGCACAGACACCAACTCTGCCAACTCCCCTCCTGGCATCAGTGCCAGCAAGTCTGCCGTATCCGGAAGATCGTCCATCGCGGTACTGGTGGAAAAACGGCAGAAGGAAGTGCAGTCCAGTCAGCACGAGTGGTGGACCTATCGTTTTGCCATCGTGGTGGCGTGGGTTGTGCATGGCAATTGCGGCGGCAGCCTACTTGGCCAAGGTCACTGGCATGGGCGAAGCCACCATTGCAGGGAGGAAGGTCCCAATCATCCGATCCTAGGTGGTAGAGTTCAGTCAAAAGCCTTTTTTTGAGATGGGTTGCTGGTGTTTCGTTTGCTTTGAGCTCTTGTTGGATTTGGCCATGGCTGCGCTGAGGCTACATCGACTGGATTGCCACGACTCCCTTGATGCTGTTTGAGCTTTGCATGATCGGGGGCGCTGAGAAGCACACGACCATCCTCATCATCGGCTGCGATTTGATGATGCTCACGGGGGGCATTGTCAGTGCCATGGTTGTGCCCAAGGCCAAAGTTGGCCTGAAGTACGCGTGGTTCGGCATGTCCATTTTGTTCTACGCCATCATGATCGTGGCTTTGAACGTGGACGTCGCCAACGGCTCCGCCCTGTCCCGGCCTCCGGACGTCCAGCTGCTGTTCACTAAGCTCCAGTGGCTCACGGTGATCTCCTGGACGGGATATCCCATCGTGGTGCTGCTCGGCCGCGCGCACGCCGGACTCATCTCCAAGGGCATGGAGGATGCCTTGCTTTGCATCCTGGATTGTATCTCCAAGCTGGGCATGGAAGGCTTTGTCATTGGCACTTGCACGGCTGCAGGTGCGCAATGCCATGTGAAGTCGGTCGAGGCCTACGGCTATGGATCAGGCTAAGAGCAACAACTTCCTGTATGTTTTATTCAGGTGACTTTCTTGTTATGTTTCTTAATTCAGTTTTCCATAGTTTTCCCCAACCAGCATGCATCTGCAAAGCAGCTTTTCGAGTGCTATATATAGTTGGGCCACATTTGCATCTTCCCACGCTGCACGTCGGCGATGAATATCGCATTTTGTGTACGTGTCGGTGATGAATATTGCATCTTATGCGATGAAGGGGTGCATGTCTGAAGTACTGACAGGCAAGTTGCAAGATGGGCAGCCGTTAAAACAATGTTTGGCACGTGCCTTGCAGAGCCTTGTTGTTGTTGCTTCACTGGCCCGGCATCACAGTTTGGCTCAGCGAATCCATCGTCCCGTCCCCCCCCCCCCGCCGGCCATCATGCCAACTTCAATGTTTGTGGAGCCCCGTGCGAATGTGGGTAACAACGAGGGTGATTTGGAGGACGGGCACCTTGAGCAGTCTTGATGTATGTTGATCCGATCGGCCCTGTGCCTGAATACAGGCCTCAAATTCCACTAGGCGTAAATAGCTGTGCAGCCGATTTGCCAGTGACTGACGTTATTGTCCCAGTTTTGTTGCACAGTCGCCAGACCGTAGCTCCGCAGTTTCCCAAAGCGTTGAGGACCAGCCAGAGAAGGATCAAGTCGAGAACGTCGACAACGTCTACAAGTCACAGAGCACAGACACCAACTCTGCCAACTCCCCTCCTGGCATCAGTGCCAGCAAGTCTGCCGTATCCGGAAGATCGTCCATCGCGGTACTAGTGGAAAAACGGCAGAAGGAAGTGCAGTCCAGTCAGCACGAGTGGTGGACCTATCGTTTTGCCATCGTGGTGGCGTGGGTTGTGCAGATCCTTTTCACCCTGGCGACCCTTTTGCTGCTAGCTCTGTGGGCCCGTCATGAGCACGAAGAAGCCTTCGTGGTTACCTTCTTTGTGATGGCAATTGCGGCGGCAGCCTACTTGGCCAAGGTCACTGGCATGGGCGAAGCCACCATTGCAGGGAGGAAGGTCCCAATCATCCGATCCTAGGTGGTAGAGTTCAGTCAAAAGCCTTTTTTTGAGATGGGTTGCTGGTGTTTCGTTTGCTTTGAGCTCTTGTTGGATTTGGCCATGGCTGCGCTGAGGCTACATCGACTGGATTGCCACGACTCCCTTGATGCTGTTTGAGCTTTGCATGATCGGGGGCGCTGAGAAGCACACGACCATCCTCATCATCGGCTGCGATTTGATGATGCTCACGGGGGGCATTGTCAGTGCCATGGTTGTGCCCAAGGCCAAAGTTGGCCTGAAGTACGCGTGGTTCGGCATGTCCATTTTGTTCTACGCCATCATGATCGTGGCTTTGAACGTGGACGTCGCCAACGGCTCCGCCCTGTCCCGGCCTCCGGACGTCCAGCTGCTGTTCACCAAGCTCCAGTGGCTCACGGTGATCTCCTGGACAGGATATCCCATCGTGGTGCTGCTCGGCCGCGCGCACGCCGGACTCATCTCCAAGGGCATGGAGGATGCCTTGCTTTGCATCCTGGATTGTATCTCCAAGCTGGGCATGGAAGGCTTTGTCATTGGCACTTGCACGGCTGCAGGTGCGCAATGTCACGTGAAGTCTGTCCAGGCCTATGGCTATGGATCAGGCTAAGAGCAACAAATGCTTCTTTTTTTTGTGACATTATCGGTTATTTTCTTAATGCAGTTTTCCCCAACCAGCATGTATCTGCAAAGCAGCTTTTCGCGTGCTATTGTTGGGCCACCTATGCATTTTCCCACGCTGCATGTCGGCGATGGATATCGCATCTTATGCGGTGCAGGGGGCATGTCCTACGCACTGGCAGGTACGTTGCAAGATGGGCAGCCGTTAAAACAGGTTTGGCACGTGCCTTGCTGCGCGAGCACCGGGATGGATCCTTGTTGCCTTACTGGCCCGGAATCGCAGTTTGGCTCAGCAAGTCCATCGTCCGCCTCCCCGCCAGCCTTAGCAACAATGTTTGAGGCCGATGCCCTTTGCCCTTGCTGGCCCAAGTCACGTGCCTTCAATCCGACCCCTGTGTTCGTGGAGCCGCGAAAGCAGAACTTGGGCAAGGGTGACCTGGAGGACGGGCACAAACCACGAATTTAGAAGCAGGTTGATTCAAAGACCCAAACTGGCATCTTCATAGGCATGAGGAGGTGTGATGACGTGTGACTCAAGCTCGTGACAGAGATGCGGCTAGTTTGTCGCCGGACTCTGGCGCCCATTTTCGAACGCCCTCAGGACCCAGAAAAGGATAACTTCTACACCTCTCAGAGCACGGAGTCCACGTCTGTCGGCTCAGACAGTGCCAAATCTGCCGTTCCCGGGAAATCGTTCATTGCAGCACTCATTGCAAAACGGCAGAAGGAAGTGCAGTCCAGTCAGCACGAGTGGTGGACCTATCGTTTTGCCATCGTGGTGGCGTGGGTTGTGCAGATCCTTTTCACCCTGGCGACCCTTTTGCTGCTAGCTCTGTGGGCCCGTCATGAGCACGAAGAAGCCTTCGTGGTTACCTTCTTTGTGATGGCAATTGCGGCGGCGGCCTACTTGGCCAAAGTCACTGGCATGGGCGAAGCCACCATTGCAGGGAGGAAGGTCCCAATCATCCGATCCTAGGCGATAGAATTCAGCACATTCTATCAGTCGAGTCGAGATTGGCATTGTGCAAAAGCCTTTGTTGAGATGGGCTGCCGGATGCTGCCGGTGTTTCGTTTGCTGTGAGCTGTTTGTTCTGGCCGCGCTGAGGCTACATCGACTGGATTGCCACGACTCCCTTGATGCTGTTTGAGCTTTGCACAATCGGGGGCGCTGAGAAGCACACTACTATCCTCATCATCGGCTGCGATTTGATGATGCTCACGGGGGGCATTGTCAGTGCCATGGTTGTGCCCAAGGCCAAAGTTGGCCTGAAGTACGCGTGGTTCGGCATGTCCATTTTGTTCTACGCCATCATGGTCGTGGCTTTGAACGTGGACGTCGCCAACGGCTCCGCCCTGTCCCGGCCTCCGGACGTCCAGCTGCTGTTCACCAAGCTCCAGTGGCTCACGGTGATTTCCTGGACGGGATATCCCATTGTGGTGCTGCTCGGCCGCGCGCACGCCGGACTCATCTCCAAGGGCATGGAAGATGCCTTGCTTTGCATCCTGGATTGTATCTCCAAGCTGGGCATGGAAGGCTTTGTCATTGGCACTTGCACGGCTGCAGGTGCGCAATGTCACGTGAAGTCGGTCCAGGCCTATGGCTATGGATCACACTAATCGCCGTGAGTCCCTGTAAGGTTTAGGCTTGCAATGGTCGGTTTTGTCGGGAATCTTCTGAGTTATTTTCTCAGAGGCATCCAGCTGTGATGTCTGCGCCAGCTGTTTTTTCTCACAACCAGCATGCAACTGCAAAGCAGATCTTCGAATGCTGCGTTGTTGGGCCGCGATGGGCCGCGTTATGTCTACCTTTTCCCGCACTGCACACCTGCGATGCGTTACAGCATGTCATGCAGTGCCGGGTGGCGAGTCTTGAGACAGCCAGGTGCAAACTGACTTTAAAGGTGTCCGCACATTTTGGTTGGGTTTTCTCAGCCACCTCCACCCATAGGCACCTGACATGGGATGGTAGCCTTGCAGCGGTTTTGATCAGTGAGGCGGTTTGCTTTTCCGCAGTATGTGGTGGTGGGTGGCTTGTGAGCCTAACAATCTCTTAGTCGTTACGGCATGTCACGTATCACGACTGGCCATGAATGGCAAGACCATGCAAGACCCAGAGAGCGACGCTTAGAAAGGGTGCCATATTGATATATGGCTCGTTATGCGAGGATTGTGAGGGGCGTTGTGGCCACGTGTCTTGCTCTGGCCAGGCAGAGGTGAAAAAGAAGAAACCAAAGAAGGCCAATGCCCCACACCAGGCCGCGGGCCGAAGCCTTTTTTGGAGTGGTGTTTGTCTCCTTTGCTAGGAGACCGTGCTGAAGAAGAAGAAGAAGCGGCGACTGAACACTTGATGGCCCGTAAAAAGGAGCGCTTGCCTGACCCGCCAGGACGTTTGGGCAATCTACGCGAGGCCCCCCTCAGCATTTTGGTCCACCTTGCAGCACTCCATCGCAGCTTGCCCATTTTGTTTTACATGTCCCGCCCTGCCATACAACAGCGTTTTCTCACATCCCATTGCGCTGGATCACTGGATTGCAATCGTTGTGATGTCCCTGTCTTGGGAAAGGGCCTACAAAATCAGAGCACCAACCCCTTGCAAGCCACCAATTCCGTGGCAAGGCTCAACTTTTGCGGGGCTCCTTCAAAGATCTCCATTTTGCCACCATTTGAAACATGGCTGGCTTTGTTAACAAAATAAAGAAATGGAAACCGCCATTGACAAGTTGTGTGGTGTTTTTCATGCATCCGGATCCCGACAGCTCGCCCATCAGATCAGCTCTCTCCGACAGGTTCGGCCTAGCCTGCCAAAGCCCACCCGGCCCTTCAGCTGTCAAGCCGTGCTTTTGCGCTCGGACGCCCAGAGCGCGAGTGCTCGCGGTTTGGAGGGTTGCTTGCCAACTCCATGGCGCGAGAAGTAGGGAATGAGGGAATGAGCCCGGAGATCTTAAAGGAATCGCCAGTTGTAATGCTTTATGCTTTATTCTGTTCATTCCAACTCGTTCTCTACTGAGCACCAGCAAGTTTCGCACGAAAGGAAACCATGGTTGAAACCACAAGGTTTGTTGGTACTTGCATGGGGGAATCATATCAGCACCGGGGCTTCTGAAAGGTGGTGCGATTTCTGGATTTCGAAACCATCCACAGGTCACGAAAGCTAGCTTTAGCTAGCTGAAGTTTCTCCTTGCGTAAGCAAGGTAAGGGGCTCAAATGCCGAAAGATTGATTTTTTCAATTATTTGAGCCGAAAAGATTGAAAAACATCAATCATTTAGACCCCCCCCCCCTCCCCCCCCCCCCGGTCTCAGGCTCGATTCCTCCCTGGTCCATCCCCCCGGCAGTGGCTCAGTGTTCAGCAGTCTCGGTTTGCCCGTTTTGGACTTGGTGCTACGAACTTTTACATGTTCCACCGATTCAGCTTGTTCATTTGAGACCTCAGTCTTCTCGGTAAACCACCTCGCAAGAATCTTTGCACACGCAGCATGCAGAACGAGGTGCTTTAAGACAGCTTCTGACGCCTCTCGTTGTTTTCATTTTTCAAGGTTTGCCACGCCACCATGTGCGTTTGCGTGTCGCATCCTACGAATCTTGCCGGGCCTCTGGTTGTACACAAGCTACCTATGAATCCACTCTTTCACCGACCCATCTCACGCAACAACTGCTAGCTTTCGTTCACCCGCTCCTCAAGTATCTTCAGCTTGTGTTTTCAACCCGTTGCTTGCATTGATCGTGTCGTATCTGGAATGTCTGGCATATCTGGAACACGATTAGTTTTGACAGGACAAGGGCTCGATTCCCAAATCGTAGCAAATAATGGCAGGGTCGGTCGCATCCACTTTTGGGCCACCTTTGGTAAGCAGGAAGGTCTGCTTTTCTCCTGTCGCAGTTGCTTGCAAGAAAGCCCTACGCAACCATGGAAATGCGTTTTCAAGCTTTATTCTCCTACTTGGGGCTGTGTGGCCCACTTCCTACACGGCGACTGACGGGCTGTGTGAGCAATCAGCAGCGCTTAGCACTCGGAGGTAGCCGAGTGCGCGGCCATGCCTGAGGTGTAGATGAGCAAGGCCGGCTTATGGAGGTGGAGGCGCTTGGGGCGTCTCAGTAAAGAGCCCTATGTTGCATTTTGCCAAGGGATGTTAGGAGTTTAGCTTTTTACCAACTAGGTTTTCCATCAAACCACTAGAAGTTAAACTTTTAGCAAGGGAGCAGAAAGCAACCGAGCTAGGCAACCTAGCCCACCAGGTTCCAGCCTAGCGCTCCCTTGAGCGCCCTTGAGCGCTTCCAGGAGGAGAATTTCCTCCGGCTTCAGTCCGCGCACTTGCTGCGCATCAAGGCGGGCAGAATCGCCACTTCTCGCAACCGGCTGGAGATTCGACATGTTCGACAATAATTTCATGTCTATGAACATGTCCCCCGTTCTGGGGCTTAGGCACCTTCGATGTGTCATCCTTTTGGGCGCAGCTTCGTTGGCCCTTAGGCCATTCCCGACCTTCAATGAGAGGAGCAGAGGCTGCCACCGAAAAAAGAAGTTCTACAGATGGGAGCAACATGCGTGGAGCTTTGAAGAGCGACGCCGGCCACTAGGGTTACAAGATCACTGGAGCTGGTTTTGGGTTGCATGCCTGCAGTTTTGGCTTTTAGCAGCGTTGCAGACAAGCAAACTCAAAAATATTCAAGAACTGTGCACGAGTCAAGGCCTTCTACTTTTGCACGCTCCTTCTCAAAGCGGTTTTTTCTTTTAAGCGATCCTAGCCGCTTGGTCAGTCGATCACACCAGGAGCGTAGTTTACTTTTGTAGAGCCTTCCAGCGTCTGATTGACCGCGTCCACGTGCCTAGCCATGCCAGAGGCGCTTGCAGTCAGCCTTTGTTGGGGCTGTTTCGGGTCACGGGCTCAAAAATAGAAGGCTTTACAGGAATGCTTCAAAGGCAGACTTTGAAGAAGCAGCTTCATTCAATAGAAGCTTCAATTGACATTAAAGGCTGTAGAGTGAGAATTTGAAGAGAGCTTCCTCGCGAATCCTCGCGACCGCAAGCTTCGATTGAAACATGGTCATTTCACGGCTTGCTCACTGTGCTCCAGCCTGCTTTAGGTGCATGTTCATAGGATGAGTGTGAAGGTAGGGAACTCCCAACCACCGCAGCCGGACTCCCAAGCTATTTGATGAGTTGGCAGGGATCAGCCGATGAAACTGCAAGGTAGAACACTTCGACATTGTCAGGCCATTTGTGTTTTCCACGCCGACCTGATTTTGGGCCCAAGGCATCTAGGCCAATCACAGCAATCTGAAAGGTTTCAGAAACTGAAGAAAAAGACTTCCTTTTTGCTAGCTGTGGCTTGGCCCTCGGCCTAGTGCAGAAATCGACTGCAGAGCATTTCGAGCCGCATTGTGCTAGGCCTCGAGTAGACCGAGGTTTGCAGGCCAACCGAAAAGCTCACGGGTGAAGGGCCCCGCTCCATGCCACACGCCTTTTTCTCAGAGCCCACTGAGACAAGCCCCAGCTCGGCGTTCAACAGCATCTCAGTGCCGCACGTAGTGCGGATGCAGCGCCATGCGGATTGGCGCTTGTGCTTCTCTGGTGGCCCCTGGCAAGCAGCCAGTGGCATGATACGGATAGAAGGTTGACCCAGATCAACCCCATGACGCCCCCTTCAAAACTGGTCTGATTCTGGATGTGTCCCCCTAGTCACAAACTGGGGTAGATGAATATGGGGTCAGAAGTCAACATTGTGCCGCGTGTGGTGCGACAGTCGCTGACCTTGGTTGCTTGTTGCTTTTCGCACTTGTAAGCTGCAGGTAGGGCCATGGGCTGTCAGTTCGCCGCTTTTGGCTAATAGGGAAAGTGAGCATTGCGAAGACGTCACAGCATTGGGAACAAAACGCCTGCACCCAAAGAGTCAAAGAGGGAGAGGCTGGGGGTTCATTTGTCCGCCATGGCGGACATCGGCCAGTGGGTGGCGTTTCTGTCGCCAGAGTCTCATGCCCTCGAGCTGGAGATCAAGAAGAAGGATCTGCGAGGCCTGGCAGCGACCGCCGGCGAGCACCTTAAAGCCAACCGGACCTTAGAGAAGCTCCGCCTGGTGGAAAACCAGCTCACCCCAGAAGACGCGCAGGAGCTGGCGGCCGGGCTCAAAGAGAACACCACTTTGAGGAAGCTGGCCATCAACTACAACCAAGAGATGGGCGCCAAAGGCGTGGAAGCCATCATGGCCGCGGTGGCTGGGCACCCCAACTTGGCCGAGTTTCACTTTGGAGACCAGGGCTTGGGGCCAGAAACTGCTTCTCTGGTGGCCGGAAGCCTCAGAAACCACCCTGGCTTGAGGGTCTTGGACCTGAGCTTCGGCGGGGAGATCGGCTTGGAGGGCGCCATGGCCCTGGCGGACTTGCTGCGAGAGAGCCGGGGCCTGGAGTCTTTGCTTCTCACGGAGAACGAGAGCATAGGCCGGGGTCATGGATTCGCAGGTGAGCCACGTGCTCAAAACCGATTCGGGTAAGTGAAGGTTAGTAAAAAAATAAAGCGATCCCGGCCATAAATAGCTGCGGATATCCGCCTTCTTAGTTCTTTACATGGTTCTGGGTCGACCATGTTTGTACCGGGTTTTGATTGTGACTCACTTGCCAAGATGTTGATTTTTAGCTTGTTCAAAGCCTCAACGCCAAAGGATTTGCGGAGTGCGGATTTTGCAGCTTGCGGATCAGATTGTGCGGTTTCGAAGATTTCGGATCGTTTCCGCCCTTGGCAGCATGACTGTGGGCACGTCCCATCTCCTGCAGGCTCAGAGGGCGCCAAAGCGATTGCAGGGGCCATTGCCAGCAATGAGGCCAGCGCCCTCAAGACTTTGGAGTGCAACTACAATGAAATGAAGGACTGGGTAGTCGAGTTGCCAAACACACGAGTACTTCCAAAAATGCAACATGGCAGTGGCTCAAAATTCAAGAGCAAGGGTTGCGCAGCTGTTGGTTCATGCTTCCGCTTACCAGGGTTCCATTTTGGGATCCCGGTTTTTTGAACCACACCCACATGCCAATCTACAAGGCATGTTTGCATAACCAAACCGTCCCTTTTTGGCAGGACGAAGGGGCCATAGCCATGGCGGAGATGCTGAAATCCAACCGCTCACTTCGCAAGCTTGGGCTCCACGCCAACAAAATTCAGGCGGCCGGTGTCTGCGCCATCTGTGAGGCCCTGCAGCTTGGCAATCTGGAGGCCGTAGTGCATTGTAGGCACACTAGGCATGTCGTGTGGCACGCAAACTGTCTGGCTAACATGTATTGCCTTCTTGCTTCTTGCTTGGTATGGTTGCCGCAGCTGGTATTTGCGACGGTCTCCCACCTTTTTGCTGGATTTGATCGTGATTGTAGACGGTGTTGATGGCTGCAGGTTGGTCATCGGCTTCTTTGTGAGATGCTTTGGTCTCGCTCGTGGGTACGTGTGGGAGGGTCGTGCTTGGCAAACAACGTAGTGGATAGGTCCAATTCATGCGGATCCATTCACCCTGCCCATGAGCGTCAACAGCGGCCTGTACAACCAGCCCAACCAACATGGCAGCTGAACATCTTGCGGCATGTCCAACATACGGCCAAATGGTTCAAATCGTCAAAAGATGTGACAGTGGCCTTTGGCGCCTTGCAGAGTCGCAAAATAATCAGGCCGCAAAACCATGTTACGTTGGAGGTTCCAAGGCTGAGCAGCAAGACGCTGTCAGTTTCCCACCTGCGCTGGCGGTGGATATTTTCAATCAGCAAGTCAGCCCCCCCCCCCCCAACGCATTTGTGTGGTCACGAGTGTTCCAATCGTACTCGAAGGGGCTCAAGTGATCCTCCAGCCATTGCTTTTGTTAATATTCTGCCGTGATGTCGTTTTCAACTTGTCGCTTTACTCACTGAGTTGCGCTGCATGGGGCCTAAAGGCCCTCTGCGGCGCCCAAGCCATCCGGGGCCTCACCGAGGACGCAGAACCGGGGCCTGGAAGACATCGACCTCAGACACAACCAGTGCGGAGATGAAGCGGCGCCCGCGCTGGCAGAGGCCTTGCGGCGCCTTGGCGAAATCGTGCGGGCAGCTGATTTGGCACGGGGACCAAAGGGATGGTTGCGAAGTCCAATTTTTCACCACCTAAGAAACACTGCTTTCTGATGATTCCCCAACGTAAATACCAGTAAACAATGGCTTCAACCATGGCTTCCAAGTGGTGAAGAGCTTCGTCCATCCACAGTAGGTTGAAATGTGCTTTGCATGCATCGCCAGCCTTTATATACTTGTGTCCGGTCATTCACGGAGGGCTTTGCATGCGGTCTCCAAAGGCAAAGTGCGACAGCAAACCGCAGGATCCAATTTTATGTGTTCTGTCGCCGTCCGCGGCCTGACTTTGCTTGAAGCCGTGTTTGTTTGGTGATTTAGTTGGGCAACTTCACCTTGCTCAGGACCTATGCGTGATGAGCAATGCTTTTGGAATGGCTGAGTCAGTTTGATATGTCTTTGCGTCTGCCATTGTCAGCACCCCAGCTTCACTGTTGCTGGTGATCATACAGTGGATGGACAAAACCCTGCACCACTTGGAAACCATGGGAAACCATTGTTCATTGGAATTTGCAGGGTAGCCATCATTCCAAGGTTAGGTGGTGCGAAATGGATTTCGTCCACCCACAGGCTGCCGCAAGTCCTGCAATCAGGGGCTTTGGGCCGAGCGGGACACGGGGACCCCGATGTGAGGACCAGCACGGTGCGGATCTGGGACCTGCGAAGCATGCGCCTCACGGGCGCGGGCGTGGCCCAGCTGGCGCCCGGAGCTGCGGTGAATATCGACTTGTCAGGACGGGACTTGGCTGCTGTGGATGGACGAAATCCGAGGCACCACTTGGAAACCATGGGGAATCATTGTTCCTTGGTATTATCATGGGAATCATGGGCAACCAGGGTTTCTTTGGATGGTGCAGGATTTCGTCCATCCACAGTATTGGATTGGATCTTTGGACTTGAACTTTTTGGTTGAAGCTTTCCACTAACCCCCCCAAAGAAGTTGCCACTTTTTGCAGAGGGATCAGCAGCAAGCAAGGGGAGAAGGTTGGGAATTGAAAGGCATTCTAAAGGGATGCGCGTGGACAAAGGGATATGAAGCCCCGTGAATACTCGGAATACTCGGGTAAGCCACGGTACGAGAGTACCAGCTGCAGGGTTTCTATGTCCATTCACACGAGATTTGGGACTATGGCAATGGTTTGGCCGAGGGACAGCCAGCGCATCATTTGCTTAGCATGCATCTGCCGTTGGTGGTTTAGCTTTGCTCGGGTTGCGCTCACAGAAAACAAGGAGAAGAAAAAGAAAAAAAACGGTGGGGGGGGGGGGGGGCAAGTTTCACCTTGCGGGCGGCCCCTGCCATGGGACCCCGGCACAGGCCCCATTTGCTTAAGTGCCTAAGTTGTATTGCTGACAAGCTTTCAGGTGTGTTCCACGAGGGCAAGGCGCGAGACCAAGGGGCTAAAAGCATCTAAAAGCAAATGCTAGCCTGACCTCCAGCCGCTGGTTGAAAACATCAGCTTCAATCCGTTCAGATGTCCTTACTCTCCTTATGTCGTCGGGGCACCACAACACGCACCATCTACAACTGTATGCAAGCAAATAAATGATTGGACCAAATCGGCCTGATGTGTTTTGACGGGCCCATCAGGCCCCCTGTTCGTTCTTCATTTTTGTTTCTAGGGTTTGATTCCCCATTCTTTTCAAGCATCGTTCTTTCCAAACACCGGATCCATTTTCCCTGGGTTTCCGGATCGGAAAGAATGGAAATGGAAGCTACCCCTAGAATGGCAAGAGAGCCCTACTTGAAGGCTTTCGGAGCCAGATGAGAAATCCCCACAGCGAAGGATGTCGGATGCGGCCAGACTTTTTTTTTTCCCCCTCCGTTTTTTTCTTCCTTCTCTCTCTACATATATATGTATATATTATATGTATATATATATATAGCTATCTTTATTTATTTTTCTCGGCAGGCAACGACCTGGGCGCCGCGGGCCTCCGCGCAGTGGCCGAGTGGGCGGGGAAGGTCTCGGCCGACTCGGCGCTGGAGGAGCTGACGGCGGTGGACTACGGGACGGCGGTCCCTGAGGACGTGGAGCTGATGGTGGCCCGCAGCCACCAGCGGTTCGGTGGCACCGGAGGTCGGAAAGCCTCAATTTTCGTGGGAACTGGACTTGAACCAACTTGACTGCTATTGGGCAACGGATCTTGTGACTTTGACTTTTTGGTGGACATAAAGTTGGGTTTTCCACTAAACCCCCAAACAGTTAAGTTGCTGGGGGGCAACAGCAACCAAGTCAATTGGTGGGAACTGGACTTGAACCTCTGGTTCTTTAAGAAAACGGCCCTGATCCAATCCGCCAACTAGGGGGAAGCTGAGGTGAGTGTTTTCTTTTGTTGCTGGGTTGTGTGAAGCCAGCAAGGCTCATAGTAGTTTCGCCTTGCGTTTGCATGGCATGGATTTTAGGAGGCCAAGACACGAACAAGACGTCGTATGCGTGAAAGGTCCATGAAAGAGAAGCCGGGAATGTGGCGGGCTGGTACTGCGGGCTTGCGCGCTCGCATCTTTTGCCTTCGCCTTTGCTTTTGCCGAGCCCAGGAGCAACCTGAAGCTGAAAGTCCTCGAGCTCGCTGAATTCTCTGGCCCCCTGGCCCCAGAGGCTGAGGCACTCATGGTGAAAGCCTTGGCGGCCGGTTCGGCCATGGCGAGCCTGCAGCTGGCAGATGCAAGCGAGCACCTGGAGCAGCTTGTGAAGGCAAGAGCGATGCCCTTGGAAGGTAGACGTCGATTTCGCTGGCCGCATGGGAGGATCATTCTAGGGGTACCTTCCCCATTCTTTCCAGGGATCCTTCTTTCGAAATGGCCGGTTGTTGAAAAGAACGATGGTTGAGAATGGACAATCAACCTCTGGATTTAAGATCATGTGAGCAAGTGTTGCCCACGTGTTGCCCCCTTTTGAGGGGCCTAGGCCCTCACCAGCTCGCAGCTTGCCAAGCTCTCCTGCCGCTTCCTCGACCTGGCAGTGATGCAGAACTTCCTCTCGGCGCTGCCATCCTTCTCCTTCCTCTCGGTGCTGGAGCTGCAGGGCACCCTCACAGGCGCTGGACCCATCCTCAAGGCAGGGCTCGCAGCACTGGCCGAAAAGGCAAACCGTGGCCGAGGAAAAGAACGCCCTGGCTGGAGCAAGACATGGGCTTGAGGCTCAAAATTGGGGAAGCTTGAAATCGGGCCCGAAATAGGTTCCCCTATTTTTTTAAGACAGACTTACCTCCTTGTCCGTTTGAGGGGCATGTGTATTTCCCTTTTGCATCAGGAGGCTTTGCTGCTGAACGCCAGCTTGAATGAGTTGACGCTTTCCAAGTGCGAATTGAACGCGGAGGACTGGGGCCAAACTGGCCAAGTTCCCCACACATGTCAGGCTGCACAAAAAATGTACCAACATGGCACCTTGGCAAATGGAACCAAAGCCTAAACTCTGCGGTTTGCCCTAGCTCTGACAAGGACGCCCGGCTCATCTCTGAGGGGCTGGCTGGGAATTCCTGGCTGAAATCCCTGGACCTGTCCGAGAACGGTCTGGCAGAAGGCCTGGAGTCCATCTTCGCGGCGAACAAAGGTTTGGAGAAGCTGGATGTCACGAATACTGGCATGGGCGATGACGCCCTGGCAGCCTTGGCAGGATGGGACAATTCTCAAATGCAGCTTTTGGATCCGTGATCCGTGGCTTTGGTGATCCAAAGATCCCAGAAAGGAGGGCTCAGTGTGCCTTTATTCTTTTGTTTGGCTTCAGAAATCCCCAGGCAGCTTGAACAGCAACAAGCGCCTGACCACCCTCCGCATCTCCGGGGCCGGCGAAGTCGCGGCCTTTGCCGATGCCTTGCAGCGGAATGTCGTCCTGCGGGAGTTGGAGTGGAAAGACGCGCTCGAGGGAAGCGGCGCCAGCCTGGCCAAAGCCCTGGAGACCAACAGCTTCCTCGGCTTCTCGAATTCATGGGACCGTCTTGGCTGAAGTTGGCCGAAGTTGGCTCCAGACAATGACCAACGACTTCTTCTCTTTCTTTTTTTTTGCCGGAAAGAAAACACAGAGAAGGACGCAGTCCATGCAAACAGGTGGAGCAAGGCAAAGGAGAGGAGAACAACATGTCAATGTGGTGCTTTTCGGGCGCAGCATCGCTAAGGTTCCTTTCTGCTTGAGCAGCGCCCGAAGAAGAGCAAAACCAAGAAGGCATGGCGGCGAGAGGTCGACGAGGAGTTTGAGAGCGCAATGCAATCGATTGCCTGGCTCACGACTCGGAACTCCCAACCGCCTTTGCTTCTCCACTCGAATTTCGCGCAAGGGGAAAGCTGCAAGGCGATTCTCACAACGCTGGCTGGCAAGACGATGCTGGAGCTAGACATTCCCTCGACGGCATCGCCAAAGGATCTTCTGCGGCAGGTCTTTGACCGCCTGGGCTACGTTCGTCCCTTGCGTTTGGTCCTTCCTGATGGCCGCTTCTGGCAAGAAGAAGATCGCCCAGTTGCAGACTTGGCCGGATCAATCGGCCACGACTGAGGAAGGAGTTGGAGGTAATGTTGGGGAGCAACTGGGGTCAGAGGTGGGCCAACTGATTCAAGCAGTCTCGCAGCAACTGAGTAGTGGTTTAGAATTGTTTTAGCATTCCGTTCAGCCGGGCCAGTACGGTTTAGAATTGGTTTGGTATTCCATGGTATTCCTTTGTATTGGTGCACCATTTTGTTTAGTATTCGGTATTGGCCGATTTCTCTATTTCCCCCCTTCAAAATTGATTAATATTAGCTTTTTGGGGCTTTCCCGAAGAGCGTCACAAAGAACCTGTTCGGTTGGGGCATCGGTTGGTTTTGTTGGTTCAGGATTAGCCTAGTATTTTTTTTGCGATAGCTGTTGGTTTAGTATTGATTAGTATTAGTCTAGCATTAGTTTTTCTAGTACGAGCTTGATAGTATTGGGATGTTTTTTCTCACCCCCGGACGGGCAGCCATATTTTGTCTCATCAAGCAGAGCAACAAAGATAGCTTTTCCAAGTTTCCTCACCCTTTATCTTTTCAGGGTGGAGGATGAATTTGGGACAACATGTCTGAGCTGCCTCCCTATTTACCAATGGATATCCGACATGAAGCCGCCGGCTCTTTGGCAACGCCTGGCCCTGCTCACTTCGCACATTAGAAATAGTCAGATAGAGTTTCAACAGCGAGGAAAATGGAGCGCAGGCGTCGCAGATGCGTGTGTGAAGGCCCCCCTGTTTGTTGTTGCATTTAGGTTCGGCTCGGCGTGGATGTGTCGCACCCCTAGTTTCCGATGCAATGGGCACAGACAGACAGGCTCAGAGCCTCCACTCCAAACACCCGCTTGTTTTAGGGTGTGATGTCATCCCTGCGCAGACAGGGAGGTATTTACCATGGATTTCCAAACAAATGGGCACTGAACCATGCGGGCATTTGGAGTAGGGAAGCAAAGCCGGGCATGTGCCATGTTAGGCGCCGGTGCCAGATCACTCCTTCGAGGCGTCGGTTTGCGGCCCACGCGTATAGCCAAACGGACCCAGCTGATGTGGTTCTAATATTGGATGAGCATATGGCTCCCCCCCAAGACAACAACCCCAATATTGGGGATAACATCAGGGTCCGACTGTCTGGGTCCGAGGTTTGTCCCGTTCATGAGGAAGGTGGAGTTGGGTGTCTGGTTTTTTTGGGGAACCCTCTTTTGGTTTTCCAGGGAAACCGAAAGGACAACCAAAGCCATTTAGGGCGACCTACAGCAGACACGGGCTTCCGGAGGCTGTCAGGCCCGCTCGCAGCGCCCTATGATCTTCACAGGCGAGAGGGGTTTCCGGCGCGGCTGGAGGGACACCGATGCGGGTCTGCCCTTTTTGAGGTTCAGCGGTTTGGCTGGGTTTACAGGGAAACCCCCATTTTGCGGGGTCGCCCCTCAAAAAAAGAAAGACACCCATACATTCTCTCAAGGCCTTCGCCCTGCCACGTTTGCAACCGCCAGTCATGTTGCCAGAAGCTGGGCTGCGGGTCACTCAATGCCATTTGTTGGGTTCCCTTGTCAGGCGCCAAAGATTTGCGCTGAAGACCAAGCCACGGTCGGGGGGAGATGCGCCTCCAGACGCTTGGGCCGCATTGCCATGGCAAGGTCATTCAAGGGCAGCGTTGGCTGCGTTCAGCTTCGAGCAGTGGGGGCTGACTTAGAATGCTGTTGCAAGGATTTGTTGTTTTTGCTTGTGTGACATGCTGAAGCAGCATGGTTTGTCTACAACGCAGGCTGGCTGATATGTGGTTTTTCTTCTTTTCTTTTGCTATGGATTATGGCATTGCTTTGGGAAGCCTGAGTTGGTTTTTTCCCCCTAGGTTTGGCGGGCCGGGCCGTGGCGTCCTTGCTTGGTCGGTCGGTCGGTCGGTCGGCCGCGAGGGGTGGTGAGTCGAACGCCAAGTGTCAACTCTCCCTAGATCAACAGGTTTACATGCATCGCTTTCATTGGAGCCGGCCTTATTATGTCACCATCATCAAAGTCAGCCCCTAAGTGTTTGGCGAAAGGGAAACAGCCCCCAGTTTCTGACTTGGATTGCCCCTGCAACCAGTCAAATAAATAACCGCGGTGGAGGGCCATTTTTGCAGTTGCGTTTTGCTTTGCTCCAGGCTTTGGCTTGAGTGCCTTTTGCTCCCTAAACCCACCCCAACCAGTCCTAAGCCAAACTGAAAAGCCAAGCAAAGCAACCCTAAAACAAACCTTACAAAACCCGCCCTAGACCCGCCCTCCAAAATGCGAACCCTAGACCAAACCAACCTGAAACCCACCAGGGCATCCCTAAACCACGCCATATCAACCCGAAAGAAACCCTAAGCAAACCCTGTACCAATCCTAAACCTACCCGGAACCACCCCAAGCCAGATGAAACCAACCTGCCCGAACTACCGACCCCCGACTTGAAACCCTGCCTAGAGCAACCCTATACCATCCAATCAACCCCAGCCCAACCCCCCAGACAAATTCTTATCAACCCCTCCAATCTTAAACCCAGCCTGAAACCCTAAATCCACCCAAAACCAGCACTAATCCACCCATCCATACCCGAAGCCAAACTGTGCACACTATGCCAAGCGTAAACCCAGGCTAGAGAACCCAAGCCACAGCTCCCGGTGGGGTTTCGGGTGCTGAACATGCTGGGGATCTTGGGGAACGAAACGGTGGCTGGTGCGAAAATCGGCATGCTGCCAGAAACTACGAAGGCTGGTGCGAAAATCGCATGCCATGCTGCCAGAAACTGCGGGAAACCAGGGCGTCTTTGCGCCCGCGGAACCTTCAAAACCACCGTCGAACCCTCTGTCTGGCTCAGGACCAGCATAGAAACAGAACCCTGGCTGCAAGTTAGACATGGCTGCTTGCACTTGTGCAAGGCTGGCTTCTTTTGGGAGGGGTAGCCGATGGCTCGCGAATCCGCCACATGATTCATATGCCAGGAGTTCTGGGCTTTCTGATCATTGCCGTTTGGCAGGCGCCAATTTTGCGAACAAAAAACTTTTACCTGTAAAATGAGAGAAACACAACTGCAGTTGTGACCAAGATTGACTTTGTTGACATTCGCTCCTTTTTTTGTGAGACGATTGTGACTTGATTATTGTCTCGCAACTGGACGGCACCTCTTCATTTGTTGCACTGAGTCTACAAGCCTCGGGAGGTTCTCGCCCTGAACCTCTACAAGTGGGACGACTGGTCCAAAGCAAAGTTAGCACGGCGACTCGCCATGCTCCGCAAGCAGAGCGGCAACCATTTGCCGGGTACATGCGTTCAGTGTGGGAGCTGCGCCTGACCCGCCATTTGGACAGACGTGGCATGTGTGAGCCAAGGAAGTTAGGAAGCTACAACTTCCTTGTTTCCATGATCTATTGCCTTTGCGGTTCCGTGGTTGCATTTCAAAAGTATGAAGAGGCTCCTAGGCCTTGCCCGTGAGGCCTTGTGCTTCGCTGGGTGAGACATGAACATGGGCTCTTCTTGCTTCCCTGTGCGTCTTTGAGTCGTGCTGCCTGAATGAGGCGTTCTTATCATTGTTCTTCGGGTTGTGCCCCGGCGGCTGGTAAGCCTGCGGCAGCAGGCTTGGCAAATTCTGGCAACTTGGCTTTGGCTGGGCTGGCCTTAACCCTCTCCAGGACAAATTGGCAATTGCAGGCGCTGCGCATGTGCATGTGATGTGTGGCCTCAGGTGAAGAAAAGTGTCACGCGAGGCTGCCCACAGTGGTACAGGCGGGGCACAGCTGCGGGCCATGGGCCGCCCTGCAACGCTTGTCGGGCATGCTTTGCTGTTGAGCTCGGCATCTGTGAACAACTCTTTTTCGGCTTTACTCGCTTACGGCCAGGCCGTTTGCCTCTTCAACCATTGCCCTTTGGCTGGACAACTCTTTGACCGTGGCCTGAGACCAAGCTTTGGGGCAAGCTGCATCAACTTCCTGCTGTGGTTACTGCTGGAAGGTAGCAAGGCAGTCATTGTCGTCGAACGCTTTGCTTGAAGTTTCTGAGATGTACATCTCCTGGGCTTGCCGGCTCATCTTCCGCATCATGCCGTGGATGCTGGACTGACCTGCGTGCACACAAAGTAAGTTGCATGTACTGCAGGCAAAGGACGGATGGGGTTATGTGCAACGCGCGAGGAAGCTTTGAACATGATAATGCCCTTTTGGACAACCAGCCGCTGGCAGTGCTTTGGCTGCGATCTTTTGCGTGATGTTAATACCCCAAGGTAAAGCCACCCTGTGTAGCGCCTTTGTGCAAGGACGTGTGTTCCATGCGCTGTGCGACCCAGAATTGGCAGAAAAGCCAAGGCCAATCGGGTTTGCGAGCGGTTCCCAAGTGAGCGATGCCGTGTACGACAACCTGATGAGCGTGATGCGCTTCTTGGCGCAAACCGCAGGGTGACAGCAGCTCTTGCTTTCTTATCTGACTCCACCCCAATCTGGATGGGAGTAATTGCCATTCTAGAGGGCAAGTTTTGCTGTTGCGTGGAGTCTGCCCCTGTCAGCTCCGTCAACTGTAGAGCATCATTGTATCATGCGATTGACGTTCTCTTTTGATGTTGTTTTGGACATCTGCGGATGGCCAGGAAAGCTGAGAGTTGCCGCTCTGGTGGCGCTCTTTTCCCGCATGCTGCTAAATCTGAAGGCCTGGTTGACAAGTTCCCTCGTTTCTGAGTGGCAAGGCTGTTTGAGCCAGAGCCGGCGGGAAATGCGAAGATTGTACATTGTGGAAACGTGTTGTCTGGACTATTGAAAGCTCAAAGGCAAGCCTCGTGACGTGGCTCACGCTTGTAGCTGGAACTCCCAAAGTGCTGACAGCCTCACAGGACCCGAACCTGTCTCCGTCGCAGATTCCGATGGAGCCTGGGCAGGCAACGCGCCTTGACATGCAATGGCTATGGAGTCTTTATTATGCAGGGTTCCATTTTGTGACAGCCCCAAAGTGGACTTGAACCCAGGGGTGGTTGCTTTCCACAAAAAAGCGAAGTCTACCTTGGGGTAGTCAAAAAACGGAGCCTGGGCGGCTTGTTTTGCACGTTTGCCGAAAATTCAAAGGGGCAAGCTTGCTGTGCCATCCTGCCGAGGAAGGGTGCCACGATTGTCTGGAGGCAGGCCTCTTTTTTTTTAGTGTGTTTTGTTCACGTGTTGTTTCATCATGTGGCAAAACGGCCGAATGGCCGTTTGGCTCAAGTTTTCCACCTCCCGACAGGTCTTCTGCGGTAAAACGTCAGGCGCCATAGTGCGGCGGTCTTCCCCCTCATTAAGTAGTTTGCTGCTTGGTGCGGGATAGGGCTGGCACTAGGAGGTACCTGGTTTTACGGCGCGGGCGCCCTGGGCTTGGTGGCATACTTCCCGATTTACTATTGCAACGTGTTTCCAAACCTCCCCAAACATTTTCCTCTTCTACCGTCACATCCTCAACCCGGTCATCATCCACAGCTTCATCCGAGTTGTGTTTCCGGGTGCTGTGGGCACTTTGTGATCTACCTTGTGCTCATTTGCTTCCCTGGGCTACTTCGTGTTCGCCCAAAACCGCAGGTTATCAGCCGTACCAGCTAGAAGCTGGGGCTGGTGATCCGGTTGCGGGACGTGACCCGCTACCTGCTCCCATCGCCTACTTGTACGAGCAATGGCGTCCCCCGGAGCTTCTCATCGTGGGCCGGGCTTCGTGGACGACGAGGCCAACGCCCTTCGCGGCAACGCCGCGCCTGCTGCCCCCGGCTTAGACAGCCGGCTGTGGCCCATTCCCCCGATGGTGGGCGCAGAGCCCAATCCCGGGGTGATCACGGACGATTGGATCCTTTCTCAGGTTGTGTTTGATGAGGATGCGGAGGCCCCTATCCCGGCGGCAGTGCTCCAGATCGAGGACGGACCCCCTCTAGAAGAGGCTGAGGTTCCTCCAAATCAGGTGCCCTCATCGATTTCGCCTACTGTTCCGTTCGTGGCGCTCCAGATCGAGGACCGGGCTGCCCATCATGCTGCTCATCCGGAGCCGGTTCAATCATGGTCCCTTACATGGGATCAGTTTGACCAACTCCTCGGCAGTGGATCGCAGGCTACACCGCCTGACTTCGGTCGGCTCGACTTTAACTCGGGTGCCCCCGTTTCGGTTGGGAATCTGGATTTTCAATCCCTTTTTGATGCCGATTGGAGGTCTCAGCCTTCCCGAATTGACAGATCTTTTGATGCCCTGCCTACGCATGAGCCTACTCAGGGTTTTCCTCATGATGGAGAAAATGACCCCATTGAAGATTTCTCCCCTTCTCATGTTGCAGGTTCGGCCCAACCCGAGGTGGGCAAACGGGCGATTGAGGATTGGCCGCAAATAGCTGGCCCTCCTCCCGTCTCAGGTTCATCCGACATTGACATCATTCACGATCACCCCAGTCCGGCGGATATGGACTTCATCCCTGATGCAGTATCATCTCACCTGTCAGGTACCCGCGACCGGAATGCGGACCGCTACAACGCTGGTCCGAATCCACCGCTTTCCTCAGGTACCCGAGGTCGGGATGCGAACCGCTACAACGCGGGCTCAAATCCGCCAAATCGGACATCAGGTACTAGTCGATCGGATGCGGGCCGCGAAACAGCAGGCCCAAATCCTTCCTCCTCTTCGTCAAGAAGCCATGCCGGTCTCTTCGCGGCGTTCAATCGGCGTCAGACTCGAAAAGAGTCCGCCCCCGACGTCATCGACCTCGAGGAGCAGTCCAGCCACCGTACCAGCGATGGATCCGAGCAGGATACACCTGGTATTGGCTCTACTCCATTTGACCTCCTCGACATCCCCTTCCATCAGCCACCCAGGAGAGGAAATGAAGATGATGAAACCATTCCTGGAATCCTTGATGTAATCGATGAGGCCGAGGTCACACCAGAGAGACGAACTACATCGCTCCCGCCGAGCCGCGTTGCCAAAGTACTTTCCCCTAAGCCACTCAATGGTGACGTTGCTCAACGGCTTGATCTCACTCAACCTAATCCAGATCAAGCTCAACTTCGCGGATCATCATCATTTGATAATGTGTCGGGACAAACCGGCACTGACTCACGAGCCACAAAGAGGAGCTCTGAGTCACCCGAGAGACGTGAAGCTGCTCTACGACTGCGATCTAATCCCCCAGCTCATCACGATCCTATTGACGTTCCTATACACTCTGCGGGGTCTGGGCTCAGCTCCAACGCCCCGATGTCTGAGAAGGAGACTGATGACGGGATTAACTCTACGCCTAGGAATCGGAGACCTGGTCTTAGCACTGTTGCCCCTGGATATGGAGGGCTTCCTTCGAATCAACCGGTCAACGACTCCGTTGTCCCCGCATTCTTTCAAATCGGAACTCCGGGCTGCACTCCCGACAGGGAAGAGAATAGCCGCGGAGATCATGACGCTGATAGTCGTCCTGCTCCGTCTGCTTCCACAAGTGGCGGCCATCCTGTTGCATCTGAGCTTCAACGACTGCTTCTCGCGATCCATAACGAGGTCAAGGGGTGCAAGGCCGAAATCCAGGGATGCAGAGCTGAGATTCGTTCATGTAGGGATGATATCAACGCTTGCGTCGGTGAGATCAAGAAGATCAATAACCGTGTTGACGCCTTCGAGAAGAAGGTTGAATCATCCTTCTCTGCTGTTGCCGGAACTCTCTCAAAACACGAGGCTAAGTTCCGTGATTTCCACGAGTGGGTTGCCCGAAGCGAGAAGGAGATGAATGAGCGTTTCAAGATGTATGATGAGAGATCTAACTCGATCGTCATATCCGCTGCTGAACTTCGCGAGCAGGCCGAATCACTTGAGAACGCCAAGGTCCAGCTTCTTAGGTTTTCTGAGATCGGGGCCCTTGAGGCTGAGGTTCGGAAAATCAAAGACGAAGTTGAGGCGAACTCTCGCAGTGTCATCGACATTGAGGGAACCATCTCAAGAGAAAGAACCATCCGTGGGAACGTCGAGACGTATATCCAGCATCTCGTTCCTGCGACCGACCTGAAGCAGTGCAGTGATAAGGTATCCGGAGCCCTCAATGAGAACTCACAGAAACAGGAAGAATTCAAGCTTCAATTGTCCCGCATTGCTAGATGTGTCAAGGACCTTCATGACAAAAGCTTAGGCCCCAATCCGAGGGACATGCAAGAGCAGTTTATGAAGCTTGTGCTGAGGGTCAATGAGATCAACATGCAGATCGCTGAATTGAGGGAGCAACCTCTTGCTGCCTGCGGATCCTCAAGTGCTGGCGCTGGTTCGACCGCCGGAACGGGATCATGGGAGAAATCTGGAGACACAGATCCCTTAACCCAGGGAAGGGCTCCTAGAGGTTCTCCTCCTCGTGATGCTCGCACCGTCAGCTCGGCGAGGCCTCCTCCACCTCCACCTCCTTCGGGGCCACCCCCACCATCACCATCAGCCCCCATCTTCGGCAGGGATCCCTCTAGAACGAGGGCCATTGCTCGGGCTGCCGGCGCTGCCCCTGATAACCGGGCCAGGTGTGCTCATGAGGAGCCAGGGCATCCACAGCATCGGGAACCTCGCTATCCATGCCGAAGCTGCGGCAAGTCAGTCTGCGAAGACTGCTTTGACCATGACTGTAACTCATGTTTCAAGTGCAGCGATCAGTTTCCTAGATGCCGCGCATGCAGAGGAAGAGGGGGGAGACACGGACTTGTGAGGTGTCTCATATGCAAGGACGAGTACTGCGATCAACACATCGCTTCGCCTGACGATGTACGTCGTTTTGGGTCGAGTGTTCGACCTATTTGCCTCGGTTGTCTGAGAGCTGATCCCGACGGGAAAACTAAGCATCGCGGCCCCAGTGCGGGGCCTGGAGGACCTGATTGCATTCCTGATCATAATCAGCAGGATGGCACTGCTCCTGATCCTGGATCCGGGCCATCACGTGGAGATCCGTCACATCGGAGTCCTGAACCGCACCAAGGGAATTCTGGTTTCTGTTCCCACGCCGGAGCTGCCGGGCCAATGCCACCAAGGGCAATGTCTTCGCCCGTAGTCGGACGAGCAGTTCCGAGGGGGACCATCAACACGTACCCCGGATGTTCCCCTACAGGGGGGATTTTCACCGGTCAGGTTGAGCATGGAACGTCTCAGGGAGTCATTCGCGGGAGATACGGACCTGACGCTGCTGTGACAAATCAGCAGAATCCACAGCCTCACCACGGGGCACAGGATAACTCTGGCGGGCCAACTGGTTTTTCTCTTCCACCAGGACTCGGTAAGGGTGTGCATGGCGTCGGTGGCGTCGGCGGTATTGGAGCTCCCGATATTCGCCGATCTTCCGCTGAGGAGAGGGTCTGCCCTCGGTGCAACATAAATGTCAAGACCAGCATCCCCGGGACACCTCCATGCTTCCAAACTTGTTCGTTGTGCCGCAATTCTCTATGCGCCGCGTGCTGCCCGCCATCGTCCGGGAGTTGCTCTCTGGGCAGGCTACTCGACCGCCCTTAACTTCGTTGCCATCTGAGGCGAACAAGTGCGCCAACATAGAGCTCGAAAAAGAGCCCGCGCCGCATGAGTTGCGAGACTGGATCATTTCCACGAGAGAAATCGTGAGCAACGCATTCAGCTATGACTCGCCATATGCCATGTCTTGGGTCATGAGTGTCGAAAACGCCAGCACAATAGAGGAACTTGATGGGGAGTGCCTCTACCCGATCCTTGACAATAAGTTCAATGCTGCACTGAGAAAGTGCATCACATCGAAACCTATTGTTGCCAAGATCAGCAGGCTGACTGAAGAGGCTCAGGTGAAAAGGGGGACGAGGCTGAAAAGCCGCCAGATCCTATTCTGTCTCATTGAATACCTTCGTCCCGATGAAGTCGGGAGCCAGTCTATCCGTACGAATGAACTTCTTCGCCTATCCCTCGGCAGAGCTGCCGGGTCTGGCGAGCCTCAGCTTGAGAAATTCCTTGATAAATGGGAAGGACTCCTGGGCGGAATCACCGCACCGATTGATCACCATGTTCTTCAGCATGTTTTCTTTGAGCAAGTTCGACACTCACCATGCTTAATGCCTGACGTACAACACTGGGATCGTAATCCAGACGTGCAGAATTACGACTGGATCATGAGGGCCGCTCGCAACGCTGTGTCGAGGTGGAGGA